TTTACATTTTACTGTGGTTATTTTGTTGTGTTTGTTTTCAAGCGTTAGCTGTGAGTGCCTCAGTACTGGTGGAAGATGGATCTAAACATATTCTTAGCATTCAAAAATCCCTAAATGAGTCTGACAGCTAGTTTAGGATTAAGGCACAGTTTGTTTCACAGACCAAATTTAGATTAAGGCAGCTACATGTCTGACTTAAGGCTCTTAAAGGGAAGGGGGGACTGGAGCAAACAGTGTTTAGCTGAGCATGGTAGTTACCAAAGAAGTGCCAGGAAACAGTGTGTGGGTGAGGTTGGGAGGCAGGGAAAGCAAGAACCAGAAATTGCTCTCCTTTAAGGAATATGCCTAATGGTGATGCAGTGCCATCTTTTGATGCCTTCCCTCCTCCCTTTTGTTTTGCCAGGTTGTTGCTGACAGTGAAGGCCTTCCTCTCACAGCTGTTTAAATGAGAATGTCCCTGGCCCAAAGAGTACTGCTGACATGGCTTTTTACGTTACTCTTCCTCATCATGCTGGTGCTGAAGTTGGATGAGAAAGCACCATGGAACTGGTTCCTCATTTTCATTCCAGTGTGGATATTCGATACAATTCTCCTAGTTATGTTAATTGTAAAAATGGCTGGACGGTGCAAGTCTGGCTTTGACCCTCGGAACGGCTCCCAGAACATGAAGAAGAAAGCCTGGTACCTCATTGCAATGCTCCTGAAATTGGCCTTCTGCCTCGCCCTCTGCGCCAAGCTGCAGCGATTCACCACCATGAAACTGGCCTACGTGTTCATCCCACTGTGGGCCCTGCTTATTGGCGGGATGGTGGAACTGGGATACAATATCTTCTATGTACGAAGAGACTGAGCACTGCACGTGGTTTTCAGCCCAATGATTGGCACCAAATTACCAGAGTATTACCATTTTGCCATGAATTTGATCTAGAAAGCCAAATAAGAAATGAGTCAAGCTGGAGACTTTATCTAAAGCAGGCTGAAGACTGGAAGTAGACTTGTTCCATTTTTTTATTTTAAAACTATCACATATGCTCTTGTAAATAAAAGTATTTGTTCAACATAAGCTGTTCTAGTATGATTACTATTATTTGTTACATGGAATAAGATACAAGCAGGTAGAAGATCTTCTCAAAGGAACCACAAATGTTGTACCCAGAGTGTTCAGCACATTGAGTAATCCTTGGACAGAGGACTAACATTTTCTGCTACTAATGCTGTAAGTCAAGAAATAACCAGGTAACAGTAATTTCCATAAGGAGCATAATTTGCTTTAACAATCAGTAACAGTTGACAGCTGCCAAATTAGAGCAAAAAAGCAATAAAGTGACTCAGTTTGGTTTTACTTTTGACAGTGAGACTCCACTGCCAGTCTAAAAATAAGCACTATTTCCTAAGCTACGGAAACAGCCAATAACCAGTATGTTAACCCTAGGGAAAAAGGTCAGTAGCTGAACTGTGCAAGCAGTCCTAAGATCCAGAAAAGAGGGAGACAATGGTGATTCCTTTCCAAGTGAGAAATTCCCAGTGCTGCAAGAGACTGGAGCCACAGGGTGAGTTCAGTGCTGCATTTGTACCTGCCCAAAGTGGTACTTGAACAAGACAGTTTTCAATGCCTGAGGATAGGAAATCTTTGGGGGTGAACCCTTGGCTTTATGGAGCAATGGCAAACTCAGATGTGAGTAAATAAACTGTTCAGGGTAAAAAATGAACAAGGGGGAAGAACTGGAACTATGAGCATATTTTGTGGACTAAAGTGCTCTTCCAGGCGCTACAGTAACACCAAATTCAAATGTAGCAGTTGTCTAGGACATTATTAACATGCACACTGAAGGTACTGATCCATTTACAGTTCCTAGAGACAAAAGAATGTCAAGTGAATGAAAAGAGCCCAGGAAAAACAGTCTAGGGTAACAGGACATGACGAGATCAAAGTGTCTCACTGATAAAATTTTAATTATGGACACTCAATGTACTTCTCTGTGGAAAAAAATCCTTCTTAAAGTGTTTGGATTTACTCTTGCTGTTTAATCACACAGACATGGGTAAAAATACAGGGGAACCATACTGGCAGATAAAGCTCTTTCAGCAGTGTCCAAGAAAAAAACATGTTCCACTCTAAGGCAATGGATCTCAATTGAAAACATCAGGTAACAAATGATCTTTAGAAAGAATTTAAGTCATCTTTGCCTCAGCATGGTTGACCTTGCCAAAGGGGAAACAAAGAAGGGACAAAGACAAAAGAAATCTAAACCACAGCCATTGTCAAAAAAGTGCAAAATATTTATAACCCCTTTATTGTAAGCAAATTAAAAAATAACACAAACCCATGGACCCAGCCCTGGGTGATGAGCACCAGGCAACACACACACTTACCTTGGGTATGGTATGGGACCAAGCATAAAACTGAGTGCTCACAGTCCTTCCCCATCCGATGATTCTCATAGAATAACAATCCAAAAAGCCCTGTTCACAGGATGTCAAACACCCCCACACTGCTCAGAAGCGCAGAGCAGCTTCCCTCAGCCGAGCCGGGGATGGGAACTGATTGTTATAACTTAAATGATGGAAGAATAAGAACTGGCCTCATTAGAACTTGGTGTATTATTAGCAAGATGGGCCATGAATGATGACTCTGCCCCCTTAATAAACCCCTTCTCTTCCTCAGATGTAACAATTATCTGAAAGTTTGGCATCTCTAATTAACTAGAAACACACACAGTTATTACAAATCTCCTTTTAATTCCTGCCTCTAATTCAATAGGAAAAGAGCAACAAGTTCAGTTTTGGTTGTGGGTTTGCCTTTTTTTTTTTTTTTTTAAGGTTTACAAACCTTGAAATAAGTGAGAGATTTTGAAAGCTGAAGCAGATGTTTCTTGCTGGTATCATGGAGAAGTCACATAGAGCTGGAAGTGCTCGACTTTCCAAGTTCCTTGTCCTTACAGGTATACTTGGACAAGAGGAATATCCCTTTTGATTTTTTTTTATCACATGTAACTGAACTGAACTGCGCCACTTTTTGTACACAGTGTTGCTTCTCTGTGACATCAGAACTTCATTCAAAAGGATTTATGATACAAAGTATACTGCAGCCCACAGTAACCTTTCCAGAAGCTGCTATGGGAACTAATTACACCTGTTTATTACCGTTCTCAAAGGCACTGGTCACAGCTTGGGAGTCGAACCAGTGCTGCTCACACATTTTCCTAAATTTACCAAACTGATCTTCAATTAAATTAACAGGACAAAACAAGTGAAAAGCTGATTTGCTGGAGTTTGCAGGGAACAGGAGAGGCTGATGCCGAGATGGCTCACACCGCTTTGTGAGGAAGGAGCACAAGGACGTCTAAGCTCCCTGTGGCAGCTGATGGGGGGCACAGAACTTGGCCTTCAGCAGCTTTGTTTTAAACTGGAATTCGAAAGCTTGCTGAAATGAAATAGAAGTATTTATCTGTACTGATAATATGTATTGTATATGAAGAGGTATATTCCACATTATTTCTCTTCCAATCACTTACAGAAGTTTGAACACTTCAGCATCCATTGCAGGCAAGTATCTATTCTTATCTGATTAAATACTCAATGTGCATGTGTGAAAGGCCATGAAACTATTATTTTCAATTACCAATTCATACTGCTTTTCTTGATTTGTCACCATTTAGGACAGTATCCAGTTTTCTGTTCATTTTATACTGGCAAAATGCAGTTATGTGACATAAACATCCCCTTGTATAACAAAGTTTAACCTGAATGCTCTAAGAACGTGTGTACACACACACAAAATGCTCTGCTAGGCATGAAGGACAATATCAGAGTAAGTGGGCACAGGACTGAGGGACACAACCAATTTAAAATATGTGTTATCAGTACTATCTTCTGACATATCTGTGTCTAGCACAGAAGCAAAATGTTTGTGTAACCTCATGGAAATTTTCACATTTGCCCAGTTTAAAAGTTGGGTGACACAAAGTGAAACTGAAAGTTAAAATTATGAGACGCCCAGAAACTCAGAATTTTAACGTCAGGTGTTTCCTATCTTAACATCAATATTATTTTGGGAACAAATAACATGACTTTTCAGTAATAAAGCTCCTGAACAACTGCATCCTCAGAAATAAGTTGTTTGAATTTACTAGCACAGAAAACATAGTACTATCATGTAACACATCACTTTTAAATAAGATTGAAGTAAAAATAACTATGCTGAGTTGGAAAAAGAGTGTTTGTACCTTTTCACTGTACCTTTATTGTTTCAGGGTTTGGATGGAGTTCATCTCCTATATGAGCCTTTTAGACCAGAACAGACCTTGCTGCTGAAAAACATCAGGCTTTGAGAAATAAGGCAATTTAAGGAATCTCTGCAGCTGGATCACTACTACTGTTCAGTATAAATACTACATTTTCTCCTTGTATTTGTGCTGAAGTTGGATAAAGACTATGAAAATCTGCAACTCAGTAACGCCATTGCCTTCAATCTGCCTTTCCTAACAAAACCAACATCCCGAGCAGGCAAATATAAGAAAGGTCTCCATACAGTGCAGAACAACAGCTTAAGAGCAAGAAACAGAGAAGAAAGGAAAATGTGAGCTTAATTCACCTGAGTTAGTTTTTATCTCAGTGTTCCTTCTGAATTTCATAAAGAAACCACTGCTAAAAGATGTTTTTTAGTCTCAACTGTGTTTTTTTTTCCCAGCTGCATCAGTCAAAAGGGCAACTACCTGAGTGTTGTCATTGTGTGCTTAGGATAAAGCTTTAGCAGTCTTGACTTATGTTACATTAGTCTCCCACACACAGATCTAATTCTCAAGATTTTCATCTTGAGACACACAGGGAATAACCTTCTCAGCTCCATTTTGTCTCAACCAGATTAAATGACTTCCATAAAAAGCACAGGCCTGAGCTCTACCCAACAAGGCACCATCATTCTGGTGGGCAGCAAATTAAATGGTAAAAGAAAACACGGTATCAAAATAGCTACTGAAAAACCAAACTTGATAAAAATAGAAGTTTAAACTGCTGTTTTAATCAATGTTTGTATCAGATAACTGTACATCAAATATTAAAGGACTATTTAGGACTAACGCCCCCATCAGTAGGCTCATCTATCAGCATGACCAGAACAAGAGAAGATCAGTGTTTAGCTGGCACTCAAGTACAGCACGGCTCCAAAGCAGAGATAATATCAGCATCAAAGCACAGAGAAAAACAGTGGTTAGAATATAATACACTAAATTTGCAAAGTCAGTATCCCTGATGATTCTAACAGAAACAGCAGCCTAGATATTGTGAAGTTAATCACTGCTTCTGAACAGAACACAAAATAATTTGCATTTCTAAGAAAAATGAAATGAGTGACTGATGGGAATCAGTTCCCCAAATTTTCCCACATATGCTGCAAATTCAGTGGGATCTGCACAAAATATCAGTATCTTCTATTATACAGTTTTAAAGTGCATTTCATCTGTTTAAGAAAGTAATAAAGTATCAGCTGAATACAGTGACTCATAACCAAAGAAAACATTCTCGACAGTCATTCACAGCAAAGCAGAGAGCAGTGAAAATTTGTCCTTTCCATTTCTAGCTTGGATACATCCAGGGTAAGGTACAGGCGCTGGGCTGACTAAAGACAAGGCTCTCTACATACCTGACCACTAGAAGGAAATAAGTAAAATGACACTTGAGAAGCTTGAACTTTAGAACAAGAGAGTTGAGAGTTCTTTGATCTCTTGATCAGAATGAGTACAGTTTTCAGCCTAGCAGGGTCACGTGGTAGTCTACTCTCACAACAGTTTATTTTGCCCATGAGCAAGGAAAAAAATCATGGATTTATTTCAGTCAATTCAGCATCCTCATTCACATGCAGATCTCAGAAAGTAGTAGTTTTGATCTATGAATACCAGTCCTGTGTTTCTTGGAAGACTTACTCATTTTTCCAAATTTGTAATGTTTCGAATCTGTTTCACAGCATTCTACTACTTCAAATTTCCATTTCCTACATAATTTGCAATTCCAACTTTTTTACTGTGCACATGTATATCTGCATAAAAATCAACTTTATTTATCACCAAGGAATTCTTTCACAGATGAGTAATTAAATCATCACCCTCTGAAATAATACTTTATTTCTAATACTAGATAGAATTAATATTTCAGTTAAGGTAGTATTGAAATATTCACTAAAGTAACAAGGAAGGGAAAATCTGCATGCCAGCAGTACCTGTAATGAGAATGTTCTTTCAGAGTCAATTTGCAGGCATTTGGAGGGCTGGGGGTGACACAACACTGAGTAACACTTGAATGTAACACACGAAGTCAGTTGCCAGTGAAATGTAAAAGATTCAGTAATACAAAGAAAAAAAAGAAGTGGCAGCTACCCCCTTGAAAGCTCTTGGTAGCAACCATAACAATGCAGTTCTTTGCTACCCAAAAATATGTACAAGGATCTAGGAAAACATCTAAATTTCTGCACATCATGTCATTAACTGGGATGCCACTGCAAGTGCACAGGCCTTGGGCAGATCTCTCCAATCTGCACAAGAACAAGGGCCAAGAGAGACAACTAAAACTGGAGATCTCAGCCTAAATAACAAAGATTTATGCATCGCCAAAAGCCAGAGAAGGGGCAAAATCAACAAGCAAGGACTAATTTCAGTACACCAAAAGGCATGAAAGATTTATTGCTGAAGCAAAAGTCTGAAGATGAAGTTATATGCAACAGGTATAAAGGTTGTAGCACAGGACCACTTGAAATCAAAGCAAGACCTTTGTCAGACTAATGAATTTGGGAGGTGAAATTTTCAGGACTACTCCCACCTCAAAGAACAAACCCATCAAAATGGACACACCACAGGGAGAGGACAATACTTCTGTTTTTTCTTTTAAAAGCTGACACCTGTGAATGCAAAGGGAGGTCTCATAGGCATTGGTAATCCCAGCATGGTTTATACTCTGTCTGCAAGGAATTCTGACAGAAGTGAGAATCTAGGCTGTCTCAAAAAAATGAAAGAAAGCATAAAAATCACAAAAAAACTGCCACTTTTCTGAATCTCTTAAAATTCTGAAAGTGATAAAAAAAGTGTTTTGAAGATGTGAGTTTAAAAGTAAAATCTCAGAACCAAGAGGTACCTGAACATAAGTCTGAGGCCACGTCTGCCAAGACCACTGAGCAGGTCTTCAAAAGGAAACAAAGTTCTACTCTTAAGTGTAAAGTCATATTTGCTAAACCATTTTCACAAATTTATTATTTCAGTCTGGACAGGGCCTATGCTGCAGAAAGTTATCAGCTGTCCCAGGGGGTGTACACACTTCACTAAAATCTGAGAGGTTACAAAACATTACTTGAACCAGCAGGAATGGTCAGCACATTCATCACCAGCACACTGGTAACATTTCTATTTTAAGTCAACTGAATAGTCTTGGGGGGTTGTTTTGTCTGTATTTTATTCTAAAAAGCAGTATCTGGCAAGGCTGGTTTTGCTAAAGCTGGAGTCTTTGGCTAATCCCCCTGGAGAGCTTCACACTTGGTGCAAACTATAACCTGCAGCTCTGCTCTGTCACTGTTCTCCCACGGCCAGCACAGAGAACTGGAATGGAAGGCTACGTAATTGTGTACGGATGTTCATACAGCCAAAGAGATTATGGGTGGAAGGTTCCAGATAATCCAGAAAACACAAAGGGAGCTGAGACCACATTCCTACTATCAGGAAGGCTCAAATTCTTACATGAACCAATTTTTTCAAATCAGAGTCTGCCAGAGTAATGATTTACCATGTCACACATGAATCTGCTCATGGGGTGAGGGGAAAGCAAGATCCCTGAGGCTGCAAAACTGGTAGTAATCTCTTAGCCAGCATCAAAGAAAACAGCAGTAAGACTTGAGGATGTTTTAGCCACATCCAAGAGACTCACGTTTCTATTGCTTCTCTAATATGTAATTATGGCTATGTAGGAGTAATGTTTAGCAATTCAAATATTGATTTAATTAGTAATTCCTTGACAGACCTATTTTAGATTAAACAAATCAGGGCACTCATCCATTAAATAGCTGATTTTAGTGCCAGGTGTGAGTACATTTTAAATTTTAACAATCCATAAGCAAAAAACATTTGCAACAGAAGGATCTCAGGTAGTTGAATTAGACATCACCTGAAAATCATGTTGTTCTATTGCTACAAATCAAGCCAAGTGATCATCAAGTGCACTGAAGGTTATAAATTGGGTACATAAGGATGTACAACTTCCAGAAAGTTCTACAGAAAAATCCAAACAAAAATCAGATACAGAGGGCTTTGAAAATAACAGGCCTTGGATCTTAAGTTTTACATACTTAGCTGAAGGACATGCTCAGGGAAGTTTACTGCTATGTGAAGCTATCTGAAAAAGACACATCATTCAGCTGTGTTTGAACTACACAGGAATACATTACACAGAGAATAAATAAGTTAAGTGACAGAGTTTTGCCATTACCACATCAGATGCTAGCTAGCCTCAAAATCCTCTTCCCTCAGAACACAGCCTAAGAGAATCCAAGTGTTCCACAGGTGGGGCAGGAGAACACTTAACTTGGACACCGCTGTTATTTTGTTAATGGAACACCTCCTGCTTCCAAACTGTGACTCATGAGGAACCTTCCTACTATACACATTGGCAAGTATCCTTATTGCCTGGCACTATCAGCACAGGGAGCAATTCAAATCCAGATATGTCTCTGTGAATCACAGGTCACTGCTAAAGTTGAGGCCTTTGTAGTTTGATAAGTAACTATTTAAATATTATGTGTTTTAACTTTAGTCAGATTACTGATTTGAGGGGATGGTTGCTTTTTTGGTTTGTTTTGCCAGGGTTTTTTTCCATGTGAAATGGAACTGTCTTAACTGTGCCTTGAGCACGATGAAGAGGCAGGCACAGAAGGGAGATGGCTGCCTTGCACCAGCTCCTCTGGAGAGGTGCAGGTGGGTACTGGCAGCGCTCCTGGAGGCCACCAGGTGCCCCCACAACAAGGAGGGCAGTTTGTTCCAATTCATATCTGACAGCAGGAGTTTGGGGAGTGCCTTGAACGAGCACCTGTAAGGAGTCCTATGAAGGGATGACTGATTCTGCATTCTGACTAATCTGCATTTACAAAGATGCCTCAGCTCTACCTCAGTTTGCTACAGCTCCTCACCCACAAGGTGTAAGGGCATCCTATGCATTAGTGCAGGTAGAAACACAACCACTTAAGAGAGGCAGTTTAACTGAATTATTTTTTGCAGACCCAAAAATAAAACCAATCTGTTATTATGAACCTTTATTAAGCGGCTCACATTTCAGTATAAATCACACTAAAAAGATTTTTAAAAAAGATATTTACACTACAGTGCTGACACATTTAAAATGAAAAAATTGGTATAAATAAGCTCTATGGAAAAGCCTGGAATTGTCAAAAAGAATTCTGGCTCATCTTACAAAAAATATATATGTTAAATGTCAGCTCTACTCTAAAACCTACAACTCAAAATTATTTAAAGACTTCTTTATGTTAAACCTGCAGTGTTTACAGTGCATCTGGCCCTAAGTGCTTTGATACTTCACAGTTATGGACAGGCACTGAGGAATGTTACAAAGCTACATAACTATTTTCTGTAACAGATGCGAAGGCAAGTCACAAGCTTGCCTCACAATTTATGATCTTTACATTATTACATCATTAAGTTTAAAAAGGAATTTAAAACCATATATACAAATTTAGCACAAAAAATCATCCTCTCTTTGTCCATGCAGTTTTGGATATGATGAACTATGTTGTCTTGTATCATCTGGATGTACGTGACCTCCAGAGCACAACTTGCCTTGCAAGTCCTTGTTGCCAGGTTCAAATTTAGAATCCATTTCCAACTTTAATGATGTCAACTCAACGTGATCCAGCCTAGACTGAACATTCTGTCCCCCGACGTCATTAGGGGCCACGGTCTTTTCAGCAAGATCGACATTCATGGGCTCTTCTTTTATCTGGTGAGATGCAAGAGGTTCGTGTTTTATCGGCATAAATTCCTGCTGCAGGTACTTGGTCTGCAGAGCATCTGAGAGTTTGGTGTCTTCGGAGGTATCTTTGCCCATGGTACAAACTCTCTTGTCAGTCTGAAGTCCAGCAACCGAAGACTTGGGGTCTGCAGAGGTCTCTGCTTCGACAGTACTCATGTTTTGAGAGAGTTCTTCCTCTGAATGGTAGAGCTTGAGCCGGATGTGCCAAGCCAAACTGCACACAGCTGAGACTGTTTTGAACTGGTGCACAACATTCCTTGGGATAAAATAAATGTCATTATCGAATAACTGGATTCTGGCATATCGGATGCCTTCCCTTCGCAGCTGATTAAGTTTTGCATCATCAACCCACTGGACACACTGCAAGGAAAAAGTGTGGGGGGAAAAAAGGTGAAAACTCTGACTTAGTACTCAGAGGACACTGATCATCAGTTCTTAGCATGCTTACCTGTGAGAGTGGAGGCTCATGCAAATCTAACTGCATTCGCTGAACTACCTCCAAGAAGTCCTCAGCATGAAAACAAATTACATCTTTGGTTATACGAGGCTGCTCAGACCTACAGAAGAGCAAGAAGTGCACAGTCAGTAGCTGAAATGAACATGCCACATAGGATAACAAGAAATCTGCAAGCAAGGATAAAGCAAATTATTTAAATTAAAAAAAAAAAACAATTCTAGCATAACCTAGATTCTTAAGAAAAAAAGGTTGACCAAAATGGTTAATTCTAAAACACTTTATCATTGAACTGGTTAAACAAATTAACCACAATTTCTTTATAAGTGGCAGTAAAAGCAGCCATAAAAGGTCAACAAAACACACAATTTTTCATTTCTATTTTTAACTGACCTCTTGTCTGCCCTGATGCCAACACACAGATGTCCCAGATACGCTGGGCTTACTCTGTCAACACTCCAACATGATACTCCCATCAGGTACCTCAGAGCACACAGCAGTCTGACTGTGGGCACTATGGCAACCACTGCTCAGGATCTCAGCCTCAAACACCTTGCTCAGAGTTCGGAGTAAGAGCTGATTCTACATTAAGCTGCCACAATGCCAGTAATCAGCCAATACTGGCATCCTTCACAAAACAACCCTTAAAAATACATCCCTATTTGTGGTCACTAGAGAGTTACAGGAATTGGGCTTTGTCTTCGTATTCAAACTGCTAGGAGAAATCATCTCTTGTCCCAAAATGTCTCTCCCAAAGAAATGCACACTGTATAATTCTTCTGGAGTCACTTTCTAGAATTAGCCAACAAAAGGCAAAAGCAGCTACAATCTTTATCCCTTTCTGATCTAAAGGCCAAACTCTGTTCCTCACTGGAAACACATAAAACTAATCTCTGTGTGTTTGTGAGGAGTGTTTGATTTTTAAAAGGATTTTTTTTTTTTTTTTGAAATGTGGTGATAGGAAGATTTCATTTATACAGGATAAAGCTCACTCTGGAGTGGTTTTGCAAGTGCAATTTCTCAGCCAGAAAGAACCTGGTTGATGATTTCCTTCCTTCCTCCTCCGCAGAGTCCTCCTGGGGCTGACAGGAGTGCAGCACCTCAGCCCACAGCTGGCACAGGCTGCACACACGGGTGCTGCCCCTCAGAACCACGGACTGGAACCAGGGATCAGAACCATGATCCACTGCTGTCCTCCTGCCTCCCCCACCTGCAGGGCCAGGACAGCTCCTGACATCCCTGGGTACATCCCTCGCCCCACTCCTGCCCCTCCACAAACGGGACACAAATCAGACTTACAGGGGCCCAGGGGAGGAGCTGATGCAGCAAAACTGTTTGATACATTTCGGAGTCTATTTAATGGATGTGCAAATGCACTTTTTTTAAAAACAAGATGATAATTTATTTTTATATAAATATATGTGTCACGTTATTACCGTTCCAGGAAGCAGGCAATGATGTACAGTTCACTTGGGCTTTTTAAACTTCAGAGAAGTGTTTATTTTATTTAGGTCATGACCTCAATAAAGCAAAAAATAACCAGTCTGAGGCTATTTTCAGGAGAAAAAAAAATCCCCAAGTATGCTAGGGAGACTTTTCAGACCACATTATTTTACAAAGATTAAAGTAGTTCTCTACATTTTGATCTATATACCCCTGAAGAGGATTAAAGCATTGAAAGCAAAAAGCTTCAGAAACATTTCTAATCAGTGGCATTAAAAATATTAGCTACATTAATCGACCTTTTATAATGTAGATGTGTTTGTTTGTAACAAATATTAATTTGCATTTGAAGTTACCACTATTTGTAAATGAAGTTAAGAATTAAAATAGATTGAAAGAATATTTCACGTCCTAAGAGAACTTAAATCCAAAACAATGTCTTTTTCCCAGTACATTCTGGTTTATGTATTACCATTCCTATTCACAGTCCCTATATGTCTCCAGCAGGATGCATCACCAACTGCTGCAATTCTATATCACAAAGCACAACATTCCTTTTCCAAACAACTGAGAAAAAAAACAGTCAGATAATTTTAAATTCTGCATTTGTAGATTTTATCATTAGCACAACTTTGAGATATTTTTGTAGAACCTTAAATTTAGAGCGTACCCCCAAGCAAAACAGTACCACAGTACTTCAGTTAACATCCAAAAAGGCATTAAATCAAAACAGAACTGTAAGATGGCTTCAGAAAAACCCATTTAAGCCCCTATTAGAGTATTAGTTAAAAAAATATCATAATCCAGTAATTTTACAAAGTATCTCAAATCAAGAGCCTGTCATATTTGGGAAAAGAAAGTATTTTGAATAAGAAAAAAATAATTTATGTTTAATTTCCAATCATGTCCTCTAACCCTAAAACCTGCTTTTTGCCTTTCAACAGTTCTGTTCCTGCCTGTTCTGAACAAACCAATTATCCCACCTAACACCAACATTTGTGCCTATCAATTACTAAATAAATTCTACTTTCTTTAAATCTACAGCAACTTCTTGATTATAAAGCTTTTTTGGCACACTCAATCCATTTTCATACTAAATACGAACAATCAACTCAGTTCAGCCAATCCAGGAATTGCTTTATTTTCTCCTCACAGAAAACATGAATTTTAGATATCATTAGATATCTAATCATTATCATTAGAACATGTGCATTTTTACTGCCATAGTGCCTTAATCACCCCAGAATATCTCCAGCTTTTCAGGTTCAATGAACCATTCAAACAGATTTTAAAAAAAGCAAGCAACCAAAAAAACCAAACAAGCCAGATTTCTTAAAACTTCCACTCATGTTGTTTCCTTTAAAATAAATCTACTCACAGATTGCAAATTATGGTAAAACTAATATCTGAAATTATTTTAATGTGTTACATTAATCAATGACGCTTCATCATCATAAGCCTTGATTAGGTCTCATCATGTAAGTACACTGAAGTGGCTTTTCAAAATTATAGAGAAGTGGAAAGGGAAAGGAGAAATTATCATTTAGGCCAAATCAAGCTTGAAATACATAATTTTTATTGTGTTGCTTGTGCTGTATATTTTCCTCCTCTCCAGACATCAGTCCCAAATTTTTTATTCTGCATTAAAAGATATCTTTTCAGTCCTTATGCTGAAATCAAATGCTGATATTTCTTTTATGTTCCCCAAACTGAAGTACTTTCAACTATGTTATGAAGTTATAGGATGAGAATGGGAAGAATTACTATCAATTTAAATTCTTATTAATCGCCACAGAGATTCTCCACAGAGAAGTGTAGGGAACAGAATAAAGGTCTCTATGTAACCTTTGTTGATCTCACCAAGGCTTTTGATACTGTGAGGAAGAAAAGGTCTATGGCAGATTTTGGAACGTTTAGGATGTCCCCCCAAGTTCCTTAAAATGATCATCTCACTCCATGAGGATCAGCACGGCCAAGTCAGATATGGCAATGCACTTTCTGAGTCCTTTCTAATTACCAGTGGTGTGAAACAAGGCTGTGTACTGCTCCAACCCTATTCACACTCTTTTTCAGCATGATGCTCCAAAGGGCCATGGCAGACCTCGATGATCAGGACGGTATCTACATTCGATACCGTACTGATGGAAGCCTTTTCAACCTAAGGCGACTGAAGGCCCACACCAAGACCTTAAACCATCTTGTCTGGGAGCTGCTTTATGTTGATGATGCCGCCCTTGTTGCCCACACAGAAGCAGCTCTGCAGAGTTTAACATCCTGCTTTGCAGATGCTGCTGAGCTCTTTGGGCTGGAAGTCAGCTTAAAGAAGACAGAAGTTCTCTATCAGCCGGCACCTCAGGAAGTCTTCCATCATCCCCATATCACCATTGGCCAATCAGAGCTCAAATCAGTCCAGCAGTTTAATTACCTAGGTAGCCTCATCTCCTTGGATGGTAAGATTGATGAGGAGATACATAACAGGTTAGCAAAGGCATACGGTGCTTTCAGAAAACTCCATAAAAGAGTATGGCATAATAAAAGAGTATAGCATAATAAACAGTTGAAGAAAAGTACCAAGATCAGTGTTTACAGAGCCACTGTGCTGTCTACTCTCTTATATGGATCCGAATCATGGGTCATCTACCGCCACCACCTGCGTCTCCTAGAACGCTTCCATCAACGCTGCCTCCATACAATCCTAAACATCCACTGGTCACATTATGTGACCAATACATCTGTTCTAGAACAAGCAGCAGTCACAAGTATTGAGGCCATGCTGATGAGAACACAGCTGCGATGAGCAGGGCACGACTCCAGGATGAAGGATCACCACCTCTCTAAGATCCTGCTCTATGGTGAACTTGCCACCGGCTGCCGCAAGAGAGGAGCCCCGAAGAGAAGATACAAGGACTCCCTGAAACAACATCTCAGCCTCGGCCATATTGATCATCATAACTGGTCTACTCTGGCCTCCAGCTGGGAGGCCTGGAGACACACCATCTATGATGTTGCTGTTTCCTTTGAGAACATACACAGGATCACTCTCGAGGAGAAAAGACAATGCAGAAAGAATGGTGCCTTGCAGAATTTACCACCTAAGGAGTCTTTCTGCTGTGCCTTTTGCAATCGGATATGTCTATCTCGTATTGGCCTTATTAGCCACCAGCGTGCTTGTAACAAATGTGGATAGAGCCTTTCCTAAATCTTCATTTGCGAAGCCCAGCCATGACAATGATGAATCTCCACAGACACCCAAGTTCAGGGAGTGGGGCTTTGTTTGGTTGTTTACTTCCTTCGAAAGTCTCTCTCTCATATGTGCAAAGTGTAATTTAAAATACTCAGACCTACACAGTTATCTCAGCTCTTGCCCTGCTACCACTGCTTAGTCTTAATTCACCCCAGTGTCTCAGCCAAGGCAAGCAGGAAGTTGAAGGCTCTCACTATCACCAACCTGAAGAGGAAGGAAACTGCAAAACCTCAGAGCCCAAAAGACAAACACATTACAACCTGAACAATCCAGTTCTTCCCCAATGGCAATTATTCTATTTTCTACATCAATGCACTCCTGCACTGTAACACAAATTCATCCAAAAGGGAATTTACCCTTCTAATTTCTAGACACACAAAGAGCAAAAGGTATTTATAGCATTTACACAGGCAAAGGTAAGATCCAAAACTAAGGTTGTTCTCCCAAAGCAAGATCAGAAGATCATGAAAAATGCTTCTTAGATCTGGGCCAGGAAGCCCATATGATTATGGGCTTTTTATCTGGCCAACATGTAAGCAGTTTCAAATGAGACACATTCATTTCCTGAATCTTATATGGGAATTCCAAGGACAGACACCAAAGAATTTTGCACAGCTTCCAACAGGATTCTTCCTAGGTGATCTACCATTAAAAAAATTATGGTTATAACAGCCATGACTTGGAAGCAGAAGCATAAGAATTCTGCTCATTTCCACACAACACAAAGAACTGCCAGAAGGTCTCCATGTGCACCTCTGAGGCAGCAGCTCAGGTCAGTCCACATACACCATTTAAAGCAAAACCAAGTGTGAAGTGTTTTTACATCATTTAACATAACTCAGTTACAGCAACTCAATCACAACTGTCAGTGCAAGGTACCTTTCTAGTTTCTACCCCACACCAGAGTCATATGCAATCTAGCAAAGGACAAACATATCTAGTGCCCAACCAGTATCTACGAAGTCTTCATCAAATCTCTAATCTTAGATTAACCCATCCTGCACTCCTTCTACCAACTATAAATGGAAATTCAGGCAAACAAACATTTTTCAAACATCTAGAGGAAGCCAACCAGCACCTACCACTCCCCACAGTGCACAGCCTTCAACACTCCCACAGCAGCTGTAGTCTGTCGTTCAAAGCCTTGTCCTATGTGATCTGCATGGGCTCGTGTCCGGTCTTCAAATAGCATTTCACGGGGTTCACTGGTTCGAGGTAGGTACTGCAAGTTTTTTATTTCATTGGTAGTTCTGTGTAAGAAAAAACAGTAACAGTGATACAGAAATTTCTCTGAATCATCTTATTTCCATCACAGTCAATAGGATTGGTTTTCTCCCTTCAGTGAAAACATAGGAGTTAAATGAGGAAAACAGTATCTGTTAAGACAAATTAAAAATGTAACAAGCTATGCAAAGAATCAGAACACCTGTTTCAGTTAAAAAAAAAAATTAAAATAAGGACAAAAAACACAACCAACACTAATAACAACAAAGTGTCATGTCCCAAAGTGGACTAAAAGGCCTTAATGACTGAGCAGCCTCACTCACAGTCCCCATGCACAAACACAAAGAGCCCCAGAGCTCTATATAAGCTCAGACTTGGACCCTCAGTCCTGGTCTGTGCCATGCTGCAGGAGTACTGGTCTCCATCTCAGCCAGAGGTGTGCTGGGCCACAGACTTGCTTCTCAGCTTGTCCTCAGGACAGCTTCATCATGATGCACCTACGTGGCAATCTCTGGACCTGATCCTCCCTGGCAGACTGACTTCCTGGCTTGATCTCAGACCCGCCCCATCACCACACACTTGCCTGACACACTGGGGTCTGGGTTGAATCTCGTCCCCAAACCCCATGTCTGCCCTACCTGCTTTCCTCAGGCACTGTGAGGTCATGGTCAGGAAACTGCCAGCCTGACTATTAGTCAGAGATTTCAATTGTCTCTGAGGTCTTTCTTAATCATTCATGTTTTTACCAAACTGCTGGAAAACGTGTATTTAGTTCCATGTTGAAGAACTTGGTATGAGAAACAGCAAAGGATTATTTCTTCAGAGTTTAACAGAAGTGAAGGAAACACTGCAGAGTGAGAATAGAGACACAAGACCATCTCCCTGGTCACCTGGAGCCAACACTGTGTGACATTTTTTCCAAGAGCTGTTTATAATGGTAACATAGCAAAGGCTGGAGATTCTCTAGTCCAACTTCCTCCACTCAAACTGAGCAATTTGCTTGGCCCTGTCCAGTCAAGTTTTGAGCAAGACCATGATTCCACAAGCTCTCTAGGCAACCTGCCCAAGTGTTCAACTATCCATACAGCACACTTTTTTTTTCTTATTTTAAATGGATTATCTTGTAATTCAGTTTGTGTCCACTATCTCTGGTCCTGTCCTGGGAACTACTGGATCATGTCTTTCTTAAAACCTCCTATGAAATGTTTATATACATTGATATGACCCCACTGAGCATTCTTTTCTCAAGAGTAAATCCCAGTTCTCCCAGGTCACCATATATGCTCCTGTATGGCCATATCTGTCTAGGCCTGGTGAGCTCAGGACTGGGCACAATACTCCAGACATGTCTCACCAGTGATGAGCAGAGGGGCAGAACCCTCTCCCTCAACCTGCTGGCAGTGCTTTTCCTAATCCTGTCAAGGAGGCTGCTGCTTGGCTTTGTTACAAAAGCACACTGATGGCTTATGGTCAGTCTGTCCCCCACTAGCCCCACAAGTCCTGCTCTGTCCCGCAGCTGGTCCCAGCCTGTGCTGGATCATGGGATTATTCCTCTCAGGTGCAGGACTTTGCCCATCCCTTTTAACTTCCTGAGTCCCCTGGAGTTGGCCCATTTCTACACCCTCTCAAGGTCCCCAGCACATCAACTCCTCCTTCCAGTTTTGTATCACCTGCAACTGCTGAGGGTGTGCTCCGTCTCACAATGCCATTAATGAAGATGCTGAACAATAATGGCACAAGGTATCAAGGCTTGAGTTACTCCAGTAGCAAATGCTTTTCAGTTGGACTTTGTGCTGCTGCTCACAACCCTTTCAGCACAGCAGTGAAGCCACTTCTTGGCCCACTTCACTTACCTATCAGTCTAGTTTGTCCTTTGTTAATCTATTAGGACATTATGGGAGTCAGGTGTCTGCTGCAGAAAGCCTTGATAAATTTGAGACAAACAACACCCCTGGCACTCACCCTGTGAGCCAATCATTTTGTTGTAGATCAGGTGGATAAGGCATAATTTCTCCTTTGTTACCCAATACTAACTATTCCCAACTATCATCTTGTACCTCATGGTTGAAATGGCATCTTTCCCAGGATGAAGGTGAGACTGACTGGTCTGCAGTTCCTCAAGTTCTGCTTCTTATCTTTCTGAATGACTGGACCGACATTTGCTTTCCTCCAGTCCTCAGGAACCTTTGCCAATTGCCATGACCTTTCAAAGACAGTGTGGCCTTGCAATGCCACTGGCCAGCTCCCACTGGGTACACACTGCACTTGTGGGTACATCCCAGCAGGTCCCATGGACTTGTGTCTGTCTAATCTCCATGTCTAACATGTTCCTTAACCTGATTTTCCTACACTGAAGGCAAGTAGTCCTTGCTCCAGACACTACTACTGTCTCCTAGGACCTGGCATTCCTGAAAGTAAATCTCCCCAGGAAAGACAAAGGCAAAGAAAGCCTTGAGTATCTTGGCCTCTTCTGTGTCCTTTGTCTCCAGGCCCTTTACCCTGTTCAGCAAACACCTTACATTTTCCTAGTCTTTCTTCTACTGTCCATATGCCTGTACAAGTCCTTTCTGCTCTTCATATCCCTTGTCAAATTCAACTCCAGATGGTCTTTGGCTTTAACTGCACCCCCTTCATGGTTGGACAGTGTTTCTACACTCCTGAGGCACCCAATCCTGCTTCCACTTCTTAGAGCTCTCTTATTGTGTTTGAATTTCAAACAGAAGAACTGCCATGACAATTCCTCATGACACAAAATATTCAAGTTCTGCAGTGGTTGTCTCTACTCTTCAGGTGGTATTTAATACCACAGTAAAGCTTAAAGATGCCACTTAATGTTGGAGTAACTACCTTTTCAGTAAGAGAGAAGCTCTTGTCCCTTGAGGTCATAAATCATCCACTCACGTTTAACAACAGGGATATCAATTCCAGTCTCAAGGCATACATCAGTAATTGTATGGTTGTTCACATTTCCCTGAAGTTTTCAGCTTAAAATTCTACTAAAGCTCCAAAAAGGACCAGAACCTTACTTGGTCAGACAGTAAAAATTCATAATCCGGATCCTTACATAACCAAACAATTTAAAAGTATATTTGGAGATGAAGATTTACAGAGATTTATATTAAGATTCAGTATCAACCAGTTAAAGATCTGGGATAAAACGAATTTGTAGAGAAAGAATACTAACCATATATTTATCAAGTAAGATAATTCAACTTACCTCTTCCTTTTGAAAGGTGACTTTGGCATGTCAGCCACAGGGATCATCTGTTCTCCTGGACGTACCCACATAATGGGACCATCATCACTGTCTTTACGACTCTCTAATTTTAAACTAGAAAGTGTTCCCCATGGCAGTGTACACTAATGGGAAATACAAGCCACAATTTCGAAGTGAGTTACTTTAAAAACTTTTTAAAAGCAGCCGTTATCTGTCACAATGAAAACATTTATGAGAACACTCAGTTATCTAAGCAAGTATCACATAGTCTCACTTTTATAACAGCACTAGACAGCATATTGTTCCCCTTCTCCCAACCCATTCCCTTCTGTCCTTACTTTTAAGAAGGGTGATTCTTCCAACATATCAAGGAATTCAGGGAAGTAATCCCCCACTTCCTCATCAACTGCTCCAACCAGGCTGATCTGTCTCATTGGGCCAGCTCTATACGTACCATGAGAGTATGTTCTTTTTACCTACAAGTAGAATATGACAACAGAAGTTATACCACTACTGTGCAAATCTACATTCAATAAACACCTTCAATCTCTATGCTTATGTTTGTTTTCTACTGACATCAGTCTTCAGTATACTTAAGATTATTATGAAGTCAATTACTATGAACTCAAAGACAGAAATTCTCCTTAAAAATCTATGACATCTTGTATTTTATTTTAAAACCTGAAGATAAACCAGAGTAACTACTTATTGTCTCTCAAGAAAATAACACTCCAAAACAGTAACTGTGAAAAGCTATCAATGTATGTTCTGCTCAGTAACTAATACATAAGGATTCTTACCTGGATTACTCAAGTCTAGCTGAGTTTTTACCTTTTTGCTGTAACAGGTAGAACTCTGAGTTACAACTAATTGAACTCTAACTATTTCCTCTGCTAATCATGCTCTCCAGTATGGCCTCTGTGTGAGCACATTAACTGGAGCTCATTATCACAGTAAAGACAAAGCTCATAAAGAGTTCATATGGGAAGAGAGACAATGATGGTCATTTCCTCACTTTTGCTGTGCTAACACATCTTGTGCTCCCTTCAAACTTTAAGGACTGTAACATTCACCTCTCATGAGAAATCTTCTACTGTGAATTGGAACAGAAACACATATTATTGTGAAGTTTTTTTCAACAATCTGATCTGTTGTGTTAGATCACCAAAATACTTAGGCATGAGATTGATGAGAATTATGTCCCCCTAAGCTTCTTATCTCCTGTTTAACAGGTTGAAAGACACAGTGGTGTAATGAGGTGAAATATGATGAGGTCAAAACAGAGGAAAGAGCAGATGGATTACTCCACACACCAAGTAAGGCTCCTGTACTGCACCTCTAGACATTCTGCATCCAAATCAAGAAAAGAAAAAAAGTGCAAAGAAAACAGCTAATGAAATACCCTTTAGCTATGGTCCTCACCCAGACAGACCATTAAAATTCCTAGTAGTTACAGCAGTGCAAAGGAGAATCAGCAGCAGTTCCTGAAAATAAGACTAAAGCATGGAACACGGAGCAACACTGTGCTCTCCTGAGAAGCTCAACTGATGTAAGCAGATGCATCCCAGAAATGCAGAACCAAATACTTTTCAGATCATCTCAGTCATGTCACACACTCAGGAAATGGAGGAGTACTAAAAGTAGGATTTTACAAAATGTCTGAGCTAATGCTCACCACAGACATCACAAGCCATCACAGACACATGGAAAAAAGCAGTCCTGCTAGACATCAGTATTCCCGTATTCCCCAAATCCTTAGTCATACATTCCTGCAGCTTTTTTTGCACAGACAGCTGGTGATTTTGTGATAAAGCATCAGAAAACATTCATTTCTGCCGAATCTGCATCAGCTCAGTCCTCAGCTACATCTGCACTGTTACAAAGCATCAGGAGCTCACACAACTCAAAGCACTGGGCAAGGAAGGGACACTCATGTGTCATTACTGGCTTACGGGATAGACCAGTTCCAAAGAACCCTAAACCCATTTTCTGAAGCTACAGTCAGTCACAGATTTATGACATTTTATTAAAAAAAACTTAAATGCAAAAGGACATTTCTTCCACTGGCATAAGTGGCTTAGTATTCCACCATTCCAGGCCAGGATATTAAGCTGCTGTTTTCATCTATACCCTTGATTAATGAGAAGCATTTTTCTGCTTTTTTCCATGCTTCCTTCTGCTACCACTACCATTCTCCCAAGTAACGAGTGATCAGATGAGAGGAAATGGTTTCAAGTTGTGCCAGGGGGGGGTTAGATTGGATATTAGGAAAAATCTCTTCACCAAAAGGGCTCTCAAGCACTGGAACAGGCTGCCCAGGGAAATAGTTGAGTCACCATCCCTAGAGATATTTAAAAGATGTGTAGATGTGGCATTAAGCTTGCTCGGCCCCGGCAGATGAACCTTAGGATTAAAGGGTGGGCTCAGTTCAGTGCACACTGTGTCTCACCTAAAAAATCCACTGCGCAGGTTCGAAGGGTAAAGACCTTTCCCAAACCTTCATTCGCGAAGAGTGGCCATAAAAAGATGTGGCATTTAAGTACATGGTTCAGTGGTAGATTTGGCAGTGCTGGGTTAACAGTTGGACTCTTAGAAAGGTCCTAAAGGTCTTTTCCAACCTAAATAATTGTATGATTCATGTAGCATATGATAAACTAGTTGTGAAACTACTCCAAGTGAAAATTCTAAAAATTCTCCTAAAAAATACTAACTTAAGTGAAATTTGGAAAAACTGCGAAGCTTCCAGCTATCAACTCACCAATCTGGCTCATGTACCACTAGATGTTGTCAATGAAGCATAAAGTCAAAGTATTTAAACCCAGCATAATGCTTGCTTAAGGTGGATCAATTAAGAACTTTCTTACCTATGCCCCAAAAAAGACCATGCCAGTGAAAGATCAACTCAACTTTTTTAAGCATTATTTGTCCATCCCCTTTCACTCCTAGCTCTCCCTGGTCAACTATGCTTCCCTCATTCCCCAGGCACCACAGATGGCTTTTCAAGATCTACCTTAGGATGGTGAAATACCAAACTTAACGCTAAGATAATGTCAAAGTTACAAATGATGAGTGGTTTCTTCTGGGACCATGTTCAGAGTTGTATCATTACAAATACAGACTGAAATGTCTGAGTGCTCAAGAACTCTGTGGTGGCTTAACCCCAGGCAGTGCATACTGATCTTACAGCCCCCTGCTCACCCACTGCCTGCAATGGTGAGACATGGGAGAGAGTGGGAAGAGCAAGGAAACGCAGGGGTCCAGATAAAGACAGTTTATAGGAAAAAAACACCCAGTGGTGTTTTTCACCACTCTCTAACTCTCACAAGCAGACTGATGCCCAGCAGTCCCTGAGCAATAGGTACCTTCCAGCAAATACTCCCCCCTCAGCCCCCTCAGTTTTGTATTGCTGAGCATGGTGTTATATTGTATGGACTATCCCTGCAGTCAATCTGGACCAGTTGTCCCAGCCATGTCCCCTCCCAGCTTCTTGCCCACCCAAGCCTACAGCTAGGGGGTCCCGAAAGCCTTAACACTGTGCAAATGATGCTCAGCAACAGCCAAAACACCAGTGTGTTATCAACAGTTTTAGCCACAAACCCAAAACAGTCCCATGATAGGCTGCTACAAACTCTGACCCACCCAGACCCAAGTATGAACAGGAGATAAATGCTGGTGATCAAAGGAGGAGATTTGCTCTCTTTTCTCTTCTTTCCTGCTAGCATTAGGTCTTCTGAAGACAGACAGGGAGCAAGTTTAGGGAAGTGATCTGAATTTAATCCAGGAATTACCCAAAGAATTTATTTACTTTAGAAAATTTTAAAATTAAATAAAGACATAGGCCATAAATACTAATGCCTGGCCAGAAAGAACAAGAGGGAATCTGAAAGAGGAGGCAGCTGCAGGCAGTGAAAAGCAACTCCCATCTCATCTCCTGCATGGACTGGGTTGAAGCACACTAAACCCTAGTGTCAGGAGAGACTATTTTAGATTAAAGAATTAGATAAATATATATAAAAAGGTGAGGTCATTCTTAGACAGGAGAACTAGCTAATTTTCACTCACTCCCAAATTAGCTGCTTCTAAATAATAATGTGAAAACACCAAAAACCTCCCACTGATGTTTGACCAATGACAAATGTAAAATTAATCCCTGTAAAGACAACCACTAAATAAATATAATCTATGGCACATTAGATAACAGTAATGTTTTCTTTTACTGCAAGTGTCCTTTGGTTGATTTGTTCACAGGAACAGAAACAGATTCCTGTATGCATTTCTAAACTCACAAAAACAATACTGATGTACTAAAACTAGTACTTACTTATTGAGTTCTACACATTAAATTATGCACTGACCACAAGAGAAGTATTATACACTTTTTATAAGGTAAACTTCCTGGATGTAATTTCACAGGCTACAGTGTGACTATGTTACAATGTTACAAATTTGCTCAAATAAATAGCTGAAACAATCTAAATCCAGAATAAAAGAAGGAACCCAGGACATGCTGCTCTTCTAGCATGTGGTCACGAATGAATACACACAAAAATCCCCAAGTAATCCCCAAGTATAATACCATGGACAGGTAAGAGAGATAGAAATATATCAAATAATAAACATGACATTCTAACTTCTTTCTTCTCATACAGCTTAAATTTGAGGTATGTCACCTAAAAAAAAGGAGATCGTGTCGCTCTCTTGCATCACAGTAATGGACTAGTATGGCCTCAACTGATTTTCTAATGTAATAGCAAATATTCTGACAGAAATGTCTTGATGTCTAACAAGAATGTGTAGACTAAATGTGAATCTACAGATATATAATACTGAAAACAAGATATTTGGGCATTACCATCCTACAAATATCCAAGAAACATTTTAGACATTATATGTTAAAGATGTTTCCATTTTCTGTTTGAAGAAGTCACAAAGTGGAAGGAACAATCCAGAGAAAACAAGCATCTCAAGAGATGAATTTAAAAAACAAACTGGGGCAAGTCACAACTGAATTCCTATTTTTAATATAGTAGGGTTTGGGGGTGTTCTGGTTTGGGTTTTATTTGATTTTTTTTTTTCTGTTGAAATTTTATCATTTTCCTGTTAGAATTTTAAAAGGTTTAAATTTATTTCAATTTTTCACCTTTAAAACCAGGAAGGTCTGGCAAAACAGTCCTCAGAGTAAAAAAAACAAACAAACAAAACACCACCACAAAAAAACAAAACTCTCAATTGAATGCAGAGAAACCCACAAAGAAAGTTCCACCAAAGACCAACAAAAAACCCAAACCCATTAAATCACCATGACAATATGCAAGGACATTGAAGGAATAGAGGGCTTCCATTTCACTACACAAGTGCGCAAGCAATGCACTTCCACAATGCACATTTGTATCTCAGAGTGGAAAATATCCAATTTCACATTCAGCATAATCTCAAACGCTATGGCCATGTAGCATTCTTGCTTATTTGATACATT